TGAGCTCTCTACGATGTTTTTGGTCGAACTATATCAAATTTACGAACAGCTCAAAATAGGACTTTTTCAAGTCATTCCCCCCCAATAGACACTCCAGTGACCATTCTGTGTCATACCATCTCTTATCTACCTGACTTTTCTGAATTGACAATGCAGGCTCCTACTACGATTCGCTCTCGATCCTACCCGGGATCCTGACCAAAATAAAAGAAAGGATTCGCTCAGGATATTATCAGGTTTTAGTCGAGACCTCTTCGTATCCTGATACAAGGATTCTGTCAAGAGTTATAGTTATATCAGCGGAGGATCTTACCAGGAAGATAACAGGATCAGTCACAATGATAAACTGATAAATCCTGCTAAGCTTTGCTCTGGATCTTTTTCCAATTCCTATTTATTCTTGTTATGAGAATCTTTCCTGTACTTTTCCAGGATCCTGCGCGGAACTCTTCAGGCATAAACATTTCGGATCCTTACACAATAATAACAGCCATCATCAGGATCTTGATGAGGAAATACAAGGATCTACTTAAGATCTTTGCATCTTTTCATGTGCTTATCTAGGAATGGATCTTTTGTCGGACGATCGTCATTGCGGACGGGGTGGGAGGAGCTTCAGAAAAATCAGGTTTCTAGGGCGTTTAGAAGAATTGTTCAAAATCCTCCAGAAACCGTTAAACATTCAACTTTTTTGGAGCCAGGTAATGAATGAATTCTCAAAACCACTTCAGAAAACACTTCTTCTCTTCGGGCTGAAGAGAGGTTTAGTGCAAGAGTCAGAGATATTTACCAGTAATTTAGATATAAATAGCTACTAAGCAAACGAAAGAGGCGTTCCAAAATTTATCTGTCTATCCTTTTTGTAATTTTTTGCTGCCGTGCTACTCCACTATGGCACTAAAGTGTTCGTTTCCTGCTTGCTTTCAATTTTTAATACTTCTGTTGGTTATTAATACGAAAGTTAGAATCCAAAACATGAAGTAATCCTTTAAATTGTTTCAATGTTATCCTTAGGCTCAATATGCGAAAGTCTGATATTGTGGTTTCATCTAGATGTATGTTCGATGAGTTGGATATTATATCATACCTGTAATGCCAACTTGATCGATTTTCTAATCGATCCATCGATCTATGTTTCGACCAAATCTGTAGATACAACTATTGAAGACTCTGTTCATATGGCAAATAGTCCACCAGATAATGCATAGACTTCCACTCACTGAATCTAGATGCCTGAGAGAAAGCCACATTTCACTCATGAAGACGATGGGTACTAGATTACGTGTTGGCACATGTATCTCACCGGTGATCAAGATAAGTACTGATTTTTAACAGTTTTTAAAACTGTTCATTTGAAAACGCTACAAGTTACTACAAGGAAAACGAAAAATCATCTGAATGAAGGAGTCAGCTTGAGGATCTTTTAGGAAACTTCTTTGTTAGACAATCTTCACATAATGCTTAGTTTCGAAATCCTGTTTAATTGCATAGTTGTAAAGGATTTGTGTACAAGTATTTTTTCGACTTTTTGCGAGACTCTTTATCAACAATACACATGAACAATCTAATTATATAACTAATATTTATGTTTCAGATCATTGTTTTCGTATTGAAATGGCAATGGCACAAACGAGTTATCCTGATATGAATACTGATTTGAATAAGAATAATGCCTCATCACAAACAACAGGTATCCGTGTATCTTTACCATATTGTTTGTTATCAACCTGCATGTCCTTTCAGACTCGTATCAACTACCAGTGATTATTAGTCCAGATAACTTTTTAGAAGCATGTCAGTCAATCATTGATCAGATTCAGTTTGATGATCCAACATATTGTGTCGGTGGACGAATGCCTGTGGTAGGGGAACAAAACATCACATTAAACAATGTTGGAGATATTTCGTTACCATTAACAGATGAAGATGCACAATCAATAATTAAACAATCTAAACCACTGAAAATAATTGAAAATCCATTGTACAGTGAACTGGTAAGCAGTGAACCTTTAAGAGAGCGTCTACACTAATATGGAGTATGCTCGAAAGAGGACATTAATTATCAAAAGGTAACCTTCTTTTTCATATATGCATCATGTAAAGCATACAAAATTGCCTGAAGATTGTCACAGATTTCTAGACCTTAAAACCATAAAATGGTTGTACTAGAACTTTTCAAGTAAAAGTAATCTAGAAAATTTGTTAGAAGGCACGGACTTTTGGATTTCGTATACTTTTTGACCGTTCTTTACTTTGAAATATAGAATTATGCATGAATCGAAACTGAACAAAACAGGCTGGAAGTCTTTACCAAGTTAATTTTCTTATCATTTTGTAGAGAATTTGATTTTCTACAAGATAAATTATTTTTTAATTTGAGATAAAATCATTGCAGTAATGCATCTGAAAAATGAGTTATCATGCGACGGACTTACCAAAAATCTTGAAAAATTTGCTCTAAAATCTATTTTCAATATCATAATTAGTTTTTTAACCCTTTACCCCCCCTTGGTCACTGGAGTGACCATTTGTAGATCGATGGCAAAAAATTAAGAAAGGATGGAATTTAAAAACTTTGGGGAGATATCTTGTAGTGAACTCCATAAGCTATCGAT